CTAGGAAGTCAGATAAGTCAGGACGGAAGGAGTAGTAGGGATATAAAACAGAGGATAGCGCAGGGTCGAGTCGCCTTCAATAAAAAGAAGTCACTTCCATGCTCGCGAACGGTTAATTTAGAAATTCGAAAAAGACTGTAAAGGTGTATGTTTGGAGCGCGGCACTAAATGGGTGCGAAACACGGATGGTGGACGCGGAGGAAAACAAAAAGTTAGAAGCGTTCGAAATGTGGTGTTACAGGGGAATGATAAGGATTGAGGTTGTTCTAGTTCTAGGGAAAAAAAGCGAAAATCACTACAAGATAGGAAAGGGTATAGGCCCGTGTTCAACCAGTCTTTGGACTGAGGACCTTATGATGATGATGAAGCAATAATAAATAAACTAATAACTCCTCAGAATATAATTGTCTTAATTAATGGTTACTTTAGGTCATTGCAGTTGGAGCTTCGTATTCTGCAACTCTTGTCACGTGGGCTCGCATCAAGTATCCTCATTTGGTTGACATTGCTTATGCCTCCAGTGGCCCACTTAATTCCAAAGTCGATTTCTATGGTAAGTTCAACCATTTTACGTTGTAGGTGATACTGATTCGAGTCAAAAATTTTGATAGTCACTTACGACAATGTAGTTTCTAGCTGCTTTATAGATGTGATCTCACTACAGTTATAGAATTTGTAGTAAATAAAGTTAATCGTTATTATTAATATTCTAAATTACTTTTTATATATTAATGTAATCAATGTAGCAAGAAGCTAAATAAACACATTATTATTATTATTATTATTAAATTAAGGAATTTGTGGAGGAAACAAACATTTTACTATCTTATCTCACAGGGTTGAGAAGTAGATACAACTGTGACAACAGCCTTTCCATATGTGTTAAGTACTTGGCAAAATAATTGTGATAATAATCTAAATACACTCATAGTTTTCTTAGATTTCAAAAAAGCTTTCGAAACCATTGACTGATAGTTAAACTAAGACAATATGGATTTAATGGAACTGTGATGAAATGGCTTCAAAACTACTTAGAGAAAAGAATGCAGAAGGTAAAATGTTGTGAATTGTATCTAATGATATACAAATAAACTACGGGATACATCAAGAAAGTATTTCAGACCCGTAACATAACACTAAATATAGAACCATGTAAAATGCACATGTTTACAGACGATACTACCATATATTATGAAAACAAGGAGTGATCGGCAAAACATAATAAATGAAAAAATAAAATGTATCAATAATTGCTTCTGCAGCAATAAAATGAAATTAAATCTTCAAAAAACAAAAGTAATGTTACTTGAGCGAAACAAAAATCTAGTAAAAAATAAAATCAAAAATAGGTATTAATAAAATGGCAGTGAAAAAAAAAAGCACAAATAAAATACTTAGGTATAATAATAGATGATAACTTGAAATTTGAAGAAAATATGGCATATTTTGCAAGTTTTAAAACAAAGTAGTGAGTATTTGACACAATGGGCAAAACAAATAGTGTACAACACACCAATACTATCTCATTATTATTTTACAGGAAAGGTTTTATTTTTAGGCAACAAGCAGGAAAAAAATAAACTGCGAAAATTACAAAATAGAGCAATGAGAATAATATTAAAATGTAGTACATATACAAACATCCAAACAATGCACAATAAACTAGAATGGCTAAACACCAGAGAATATACAGTGTCCCTAACAATGATTTTCATACATAAAACTTAGACTTTTGCCTGCATATTTCAATGTTAAATTCTTTTGAATATACATATCTCCAATATATATATATATATACTACGGATGTAGATAACAGCAATATTGTTACTTTCACATTCTAATCTAATTACCAAAATGGCGATGTACTGTAACTAGTATAAAAAGGGCCTATCCCAACACAATAGCAGTTAGTCTAGTTTCCGCAATAAACGAGTATACCACGAAGTAATTCTTTTCTTATTATTTACATGTGAGCATTCTCATGAACTCTTTATCATATCACCTGTTTATGTTATGCTTTTGGCGCCGACCAGCCGGAATACGACTCAAATCTACTATCAGAACTACCGGACCAAATGAAGCAAATCGACTAGTTCAATGATTCTTTTGTTTAATTTGTTCGAGTGCATTCTCAACGAAGTACAAGTTACTTAAATAAGTGCTGATCTAATTAACCTATTAAATAAATTCAGATAAATCTACGTGTTCATCCAGGTTATTTCGGATTGAATCTAGAACTAAAACATTGTTGTGTGGGTGTGTGTTGGTTCGTGAATCAAATACATTTTAAAAACTTGGCTTTTGTTCCACCACGTAACAAAAATTGGCGACGAGGATGTGATACCAGCGTATGCAAGTATCAGAAGAATACCCAAAAGACAACTCTATCAACGTCAGCAAGCTGCAGATCCTCTAGAAGTATCCAGTAGCTGTCAGTCTGGTCTGGACGTATCCAAGGCAATCCTTCTTGTTTGTATAGTCATCCCAAACTGTATCCCTTACGTTCTTCTCTATTCTCTTCAGAAAAAACTGAATTGAATCCTGTTAATTCCTATTCAGATAGTATTTACTACTAATATTAATATTAAAATGACACAGTCAGTCAATAATAAGACGACACCACCACTTAATAAAAAATAATTCTGAACTAGAAACTGGATCTGCATTAGATCCCAAAATCATGTTCGCTTATTTGTTAAAAAATATTCCCGAGTTCGACGGAAACAACATTCCCGTCTCTCACTTTATAAGTTTTGTTGATTTCGTAATTAATAGTGCTCATAGGAATTTTAAACCCCTGGTTGTCCTGATTGTATCCACGAAATTAAAAGGTAGATCCGCAAATCTAATGTTAAATAAGAATATTGCTTAGTGGGAAGATATCCGAACTCTTTTTAACCACAATTTTGGATTTGAGAAATCGACCAAAGCTTATTTGGCGATCTCTTTAGAGTAAAAAATGAAAACAGCGTTAATTCTCACTTATATTGAAGTAGCTAAAATCCGCGACAAATTGGTAGTTGCCGTCGCAGAACAAGTGACGTTAGNACCTACTGAAGGTGAATTTTTCTACGATCAGCTGGCAATCGTAATTAATTTGCGATTGTGCAGGGCCGGCATCGAAACTGTTATAATTTTATAATTTTTTATTTTGTTTCAAAAGTCAAAAGTGTTATAACATTTTATGTTCCAAATGTCCGTAGGAATCTGTGGTATAAATATTAATTATTATAACTGGGACACCCTATATATATATTGTCACTTTCACATTCTAATCAAATACCAAAATGGCGATGTACTGTAACTAGTATAAAAAGGGCCTATTCCAAACACAACAGCAGTTAGTCTAGTTTCCGCAATAAACGAGTATATCACGAAGTAATTCCTTTCTTATTACTTACATGTGAGCATTCTCACGAACTCTTTATCATTTCATCTGTTTATGTTATGGTTTCGGCGCCGACCAGGCGGAATACGACTCAAATCCCAGGGTACTACCAGACCAAATGAAGCAAATCGACTAGTTCAATGATTCCTTTGTTTAAAATGTCGGAAGTGTAATCAGTACGGACACAAACAAGTTGAGTGTAGACAATCGGCAACACGTGAATCCGTGCCTTCTTCGACTAAGCAAACACACCAATTGACATCAGACCTAAAGTTAGTGTATGCAACTATTGCAAAAAGCCCGGACATACAGAAGTAGTGATGTTGACGCTCTAGTGGGCATCGACATTTTACAAAGACCAGGAATCAAAATACAAATAAAAACAAATAGTGTCGACATCGTTCATGACCCTCTGTATTCTAATCGTATCCTGAGTCTGCGCGCTTTAAACACGAGTGATTTGAATGTGTCAGGATTGGACGAGCACGTGGCTGTTTCAATCCGAAAAATAATCGAAACTGCATGGAAAGGAACACCCCCAGCTGTAACAACCGCCAAATTGCAGATCACCTTACGAGATACCCAGCCCATTGCTTATCGCCCACGTCATTTATCTTATGCCGAACGAATATCAGTGAAACGAATAATTAACGAACAACTAAAAGATGGTATAATTCGCGAAAGAGATTCCGCGCACGCCAGTCCGATTGTATTAGTCAAAAAGCGAATCGGTGATACGCGACTACGTGTTGATTTTCGCGGCGTAAACAAGCGTGTCGTGCGGATCAACTATCCACTTCCGAGAATCCAAGATCAAATCGACGCTCTTTCGAAGGCTGTTTATTTCTGCACTCTAGATATGAAAGCAGGTTTCCACCAGGTAGAAATTGAAGAAAATTCGAAGCATATCACCGCATTTGTAACACCAGATGGATTGTATGAATCACATCGCGTTTGTTTATATTAACGATGTGTTGTGCGCGTCAAAAACTATTACCGAAGGAATAAACAATCTCCGAAAAGTTTAAAACGCGTCAGTCAGTGCCGCATTTGTACTGAATTTATCCATGTGTCGTTTTTTTCAAGTCAATGGAATATTTAGGCGTTATAATGGAGGGTGGTACAGTGCGACCAAGTTCGCGGAAAATAAAAGCTCTTGTCGAAACACCCGCACCACATGCCCTAGAAACTGTGCGCCAATTTTTGGGTTTGACCCGATACTTCCGCCGATTCATTAAGAACATTGCGTGTTTAATAGCCCCAATCACTGCATTGCTACGCAAAAATGAACACTTCATTTGGACTGCCGAATGCGAAAAGGTGCGTTTAGAACTATTCTGAACATTTTTAATCCCGAGTTGAAAACCGAACTATACACCGATGCCAGTGCCTCAGGTATAGGCGCAATCCTCCGCAATGCAAAGGGGACACGAAAAAGTCGCACACCCTGTGGCTTACTTTAGTAGACACACAACCGAACCAGAATCAAGGTATCATTCATACGATCTGGAAACTTTGGCAATTGTTGAGACGACAACGTATTTCCGCACCTATCTTTATGGGATTCATTTTGCAATTTTTACAGACTGCAATTCGGTTCGGGTAACGGCAGTAAAGAAAGAACTTCATCTGCGCGTGGCAAGATGATGGATTAAATTACAAGACTTTAATTTTGATATCGAATATAGACCGCGAACGAAAATGTGTCATGTAGACTATCTGAGTCGCAATGTGTCTTCTCAAAAAGTACTAATATCTCGCGTTGCTTCGAACCAAAACCAAAAATCAATTCGTGAGTATCAAAGTGAAGACCCTTTTGTCAAAGCATTTTTAATAAAATAAACATCAAACCCAACTATCAGGGTTGGAAAAATCATGACTTTTTTAAAAAATCGAAAAAAGTGCGATTTTTTGAAAAATTTCTAATTAATCACGATTTTTTTGATTTTTTCGATTGATTATTTAATTCAACTATATTTTTGCGCAAAACGAAACACGCCTTCAAGGGATTGCGCGGACACAGCGCGGAGATTTCCTTTTTGTCTGACAAATGACTGCCAAGCAAAAGGGAAATCCCCGTGTAGTGTTTTGTTTATTTCGCTTGCAATTACGGTCTTACTTTCGTTCTAACAAGCATTCATTTGTTCAGTTTTGTTCACTATTGTTATTGCTGTGATATGTGCGTGACCAATTTATTATAAATAAAATGCCTCGCCAAAAAGATGGGATTTGGGCACATATCACAGAAAAAAGTACTACCAAAACTGGCTGTCGGGCTATATGCAACACAAGTAAAAAAGAAATTCAAGGTCTGGTTGCGAGGATGAAAATACATTACGAAAAGTGCAAAAAAAATATTCCGGAATCTCATGACGATGTTGAAGTTGTAGGTAAGTTATTAAAGTTATTATTTACAAAACAAACTGAAGAATACTAACTAGTTTTCTATATGGTTTTGGTGATCGCACTTAGCGGACAACGGTATGATTAGTGAGAAATTTTAACTGCTTGATGTCTGTAGACATGATTGTTTTAATGGTACTAACTGCGTAACAAATAACATCATAAGTAAAATATATTTTTCAGAATTGGCTTCACTTTCCGAACCTAGCTCATCTGCAAGTTCTTCGGCAAAAGGCGACGATTGCGCGGAACCGTCTCTTAAAAAAAAGAAACTATCTGCAAACTTAAACTCCTTTATAGTAACAACACCAAAATCTACAAAAGAAACAATAGACCGACAAACAGCAAAGGCCATGTTTACTACAAACTGTAGCTTCAGAAGTATTGAACATCGAGAAGTAAAAAAAGCCATTTCATTATTACGCCCAGGGTATATCCCACCATCTCGGAAGGATATATCAGGCAAATTATTGGATCAAATATACCTTGAAGAAAAAGAACCGATTATTTGCGCCACTATTACGACAGAGCAATCTGAAGTAATTCTTATTGACTCGATAGACACTACAGGACAGCCGCACACTGGTGAATACCTAGCTGAATATGCTGAGGGTTTGATAGAAAGATTAAAATCTCAATATAATTGTAATGTTGCAAGTTTTGTTACCGACAACGCTGCGAATATGGCTAAAATGAGGAAGGAATTAAAAAATAGTGATACAATAATCACATACGGCTGTTCTGCACACTTGTTGAACTTACTTTCCAAAGATTTAGAAATTAGCAGTATAAAGGAGCATGTTGTGCAAATAATAAAATACTTCCGAAACAATCATGCAGCTAACAGCTTGTACAAAGCGGAAGGAGGGAAAGCATTAGTGCTACCATCAGATATTCGTTGGAATACTGTAACTGATTGTTTCGAAGTCTTTGTGTCTGAGTGGCAAAAGCTACTAAAAATATGTGAAGAGAACAGGGACGTCATAGATCCTGTTATTAGAGCAAAAGTTGAAAATATGGTCGTAAAAAGGTCAGTGGAAGATTATCTAATAATTTTGAAGCCAATATCTGTTACATTGGATACTTTACAAAGAAATAATGCAAATTTGTCTGCTGCTGTAACAGCTTGGAGCTAAATTTAAAGAAACTGATTTAAATAGTAGCCAAATGTCGAAGTTTCGAAAGATATAAGCAAGCAATGACCCCCAGTCACTTTCTGGCATTTTTATTAGACCCAACCCAAACAGAATTCACACTGACAGATGAAGAAGAAGAAAGTGCGTTGGAGGAAGCGCGAAATCACTATGATGGTTCAGTTTTGCTACCATTGATAGTAAAGCTTAAGTCAAAATCAAAACCATTCAAAAGTGTGATGTTCGCAGAAGAAATAGTAAAAAATGTGACACCACTAGAGTGGTGGGTGTCACAGAAAAATATATTTAGTGAAAAGGAACAGTCAAAAATTTTTCCAGTGGTGAAGCAAGTGTTTGGCGCGATAGCTTCTTCAGCTGCTGTAGAAAGAGTGTTTTCCACCTTTGGAATTGTTCAGAGCAAATTAAGAAACCGAATGGGAATTGAAAAGGCTGGAAAACTAGTTTTTTTTAGTCAAAATTTTTTCCAGTGGTGAAGCAATTGTTTAGTTTGTAACTTAATTATAATTTCTAAATCTGTTTTTTTATGTTGATTTCTGAAAGAAAGTGAAATTAAACATTTTTGATTAAATCATTGATTTTTATTTAAAAAATCATTTGATTTAAATCGTGATTTAAATTATAATACTGAAACTATCAAAATCCAAAATCAAATTATTCCATTTGATAATAAACAACAACAATCATCATCTGCGCCAATCATTTTATTGAAACCACGAAGTGAAACAGTAACGCAGGTAATAGTGCTAAACAATATAAAAGAAGGTATTATTAACAACACGTATCTTGAATAATACATAATCCTGCCGAATGCTCTGGTCACCGTTAACAACGAGCAACTTGCTAACTGTACCATAATCAACGCCAGAGATGCTGAAGTTAAAATTAAGCAACCGGAAGTCGTATTAGAAGAATTACCGCATCCGTACCCGATGTGTCACATCCAAGAAATGTGTAATAAGATGCAAAACCAAGCTCGACCAGATAGTCTCACTCTTCTCAACGAAAATCTGAGACTAAGCTAAGAAGAAAAAGACTCATTATTATCAATCTGCAAAAAATTCAACTATATATTTCATCTCCCAGGAGATCAACTTTCCTGCACGTCAACAGTCCAGCACGAGATACCGGTCACAAATAATGCTCCAATATTTACCAAAACATATAGGTATCCTAAAATACACGAAGAAGAAGTCAACAGACAGATAAAGAAGATGCTGGATCAAAATATAACTCAACCTTCAACGTCACCGTGGTCCTCACCAGTGTGGGTAGTTCCGAAAAAGCCCGACGCGTCTGGAGCAACAAAATTATTCGACAACAGAGAAGGAACTTCTCGCAATCGTCAAACATTTTCGCCCCTACTTATTTGGACAAAAATTCATCATTTGTTCAGATCATAAACCACTAACCTGACTCATAAATTGCAAAGACCCTTCAACCCATATAGGAATTGCCATTAAAGAAAAAATACCGATGATCGGCCAATGCATGGCTTTCGATCAACGGCCATCACTTCGTTTGCCCTTTATGGCCCATTAATAATATTGTATTGGCTAGTTTAGAAATAGAAAAATAGAAATTCAGTACTGGCTAATGATAATGGCCCATTGATAATCCAGTAAATATTTTTTTATTGTATAATAATACTTCTCTATGCATGAATCACATACATTTACACATAAACAGAGTAATAAATTTATGTATAACAGTTCATTATACTAAACTGTTATGCTATGTGTCGAATTCTTCAAAAATGAATCTGTCGATATTTTATATTTATTTTATTTTTATTAGTTTTTTTAAATATGATGTTTATCATGAGATGTCTGTTTGAAATCAACATTTGGTTTTAAACAAACAAGATTTACATTCTTTAGAAGATTTAAAAGAAAAGGTCTTTAATCCTAGTTTATGATCAAAAACACTTAGGTCATGAAAGGAGTCCTTTTATTTTATGAGTTTATTAGTTTTTTTACGTGAGTGTTGCATATGTTTATTATTTAAGAATTTTCTTAGACCACTGTTAATTAGTTTAAACTTTCAAAAGAAGGGTCTAGGACCTTATGTTCTAAAAATTATTTTGCTTGAGATAAATAGTTAGTTGCGAGACAACTGTCTAACCCGCAGGAACGATTTCTCTCTTTGCAGTTGTTTTGAATAAAGAATAATTATTTTTGGTGAAAAGTAAATTAAAGTGTATTCACTATGTCAAGTACTTATTATAGAGTAAAAAAGCACCGTGCTTTAAGAAACTCTCAGAATAATGAAGATCATTTTGAAGAAAATAGAAACGATAGTAGTCATAATCAAATTGAATCTCCCAGTGTATCGAATATCAATCAAGAACAAATAAATAATGGTGAAGCGTTGAGTGATAGAAATTTACATCGAGAACAAATTAATGATAGTGATGTGTTTAATGATATAAGTTTGAATCACGAACAGAATGATAACATTAATACCTCTGGTGAATTAGCAGAACAAATGAATGATAGCCATAGCTCAATGGGCTCAAATATTTCTATAATTGAGGAAATCAACAACGTCAACGGTGGAATCAATGAAAAATTACGTAGATGGTTTTTGAGAAACATAGGTGTTTTGCAACTTAACGTTGTCACCGAGTTATTATCAATTCTTCGCGAGGAAGGTCATCAAACGTTGCCCAAAACAGCGCAGACTTTGTTGGGCTCTAGTCATCGAACACCTGTATTACCGATGTTAAGCTCCAAACAAAGTAATGGCGAATATAAATATATAGGTATTGCACAGAAACTAAAAAATAGTATCCCACAAAATTATAATAAAGAGGAAATAAAAGTACTCGTTCATATCGATGGCATGCAAATATTTGTTAGCTCACCTATGCAAGTTTGGCCAATAGTTATGAAGATATATGATGATGATTATATTTCAAAACCGTTTGTTGTCGGTATTTACTGTGGAGATTCAAAACCAGGAAACGTAGAAGAGTATTTATTTGACTTCATTGACGAAGCAAATAATCTCACTAGGAATGGAATTGTTATTAATAACAAAACTTATCAATTTAAGATTATGGGCCTCATTGCCGATGCTCAAGCCAGAGCATTTTTAAAATGCATCAAAACACCAGGAACATTTTATGCTTGTGAGAGATGTATCATAAAAGGAATATCAGTTGGACAAGGTCGAAAACAGAAGCGCGTTTATTCAGAAATAAACTGTGAGAAGAGAACCAAAAGATCTTTTAAAAGAAAGTTGCAAAGTGAACATCACATTCTTAACAAAACAAGCCCTTTAATAAATTTGCAACATTTTAATCCGGTTAAATCTGTAATCTTGGACTCCATGCATCTTCTGTATCTTGGAGTAATGAAGTCTTTAATGGAAAAATGGATACATCGTACAAATATAGCTCGTCTTAGAAAACGCCAAGTAATAATTTTACGAAATAGAATGTTATCATTAACATCTGATATTCCCATGGAATTCCAGCGAAAAAAATTTGATGTGCATATTGTATCTAAATGGAAAGCGACACAATACAGATTTTTACTTCTCTACTGTGGGCCAATTGTGTTGAAAGACATTTTACCAGATTTACACTACAACCATTTCCTGTTATTATTTGCCGCATGTCGAATTCTCCACAGTAAAGAATTGATAGAAACTTATTGTGACTATGCTCAATATTTACTTGTTAATTTTTTTGGATTGTTGCCATCTCTTTATGGACCTGGATCGCAAGTACTGAATATGCATTATCTTATACATTTAGCAGACGATGTAAAACATTTTAAAATTCCTTTAAGCCAAATCTCTGCCTTTTTGGGGTGAGAATTATATAAGCATTTTCAAACATTTAGTTAAATCACCTCGAAGGCCACTCACTCAAATAATTAATCGTTTAACAGAACTAGAATGTGGAGAAGGATTGACAATTAAAAAAATTCATTGGATTAAAAATTGTGTTATACGAAACCATATAGATAATGATAATTATGAAGACAGAGACTATGATTGTGTAGTGCGTATTTGTGTGAATGAGTTCACATTGACTTCTCAGCATCCAAATAATATTATACAATTGAAAGATGGAAAGATATTTAAAATCACCAAAATATTAAAAAGACGAAGAGAGGATGGAGCTTCATCAATATTAAGTGATTTAGTTTTTACAGGATGTCAAATAGACCGTAGTCAGTCAGTGTTCAATTTTCCCACTCCTTTTCTCGACGTTGGCATGAGTTTCGGCCACGGATTCTCAAACATTGAAGAAACAATATCTGTTATAGACATTAAATGCAAGTGTGTTTTATTGCATTGCCATAATAGAATCAACATTATTTCTTTACTGCACTGAGCTTGACTGTTATTGTTATGTGCATGTATATATAATAATTGAAGGTTGATACAATAGGAAAGTGGATGATGTATTAATCGTCACTTAATTCGTGTAAACTTTCGTAAGAACACACATATATATTGTATGGACTATAAAATTGAGTGTAGGGTTTCGTCTTGTGGTGTGAAAACTCTACTCTATATATTTATATTGTGTAGTGTAGTGAACCTCGACACACATCAACAAGTCTGGAATGTAAACAAAGTCGAGTGAAATCTATAAAAAACATATACATTGAAAAATAATATATTTTATTAGTCTGTGTGTGTGTCTCTTCGTACTTATTTAGACAGTTAGAGAATTTAGTGTTCAAGTGACTTCCATAGTGAACGGTGCGATTTGTTTGTTCTTAAAAGACGAAAGGTCATCAAAAACGATTAAAAAATGGCAAAATCGGATAATTATCTGTATGCAGTGGTAGCTTTTTTAAAAAATGGTGAAAATGATAATAAAACTAAGAGAAAACAGCAGAAAGAAAACGTAAAAGTAGATCTTGTTTTGTGTTCCTGGATCTTTGAAGAAGATAATCAATTGAAGTGCTGGTATCCGCCTGAAGATAAATATTCGCAATTGGATACATATTTAAAACAATTTAAAGAAGTCGAGGAATCATGGAAGGCTTTTCCGATCAAACATTTAGCATACGCAAGTAAGTTTAAAATAAAAAATTCTGAATTATTATTTATAGTATTGATCAAAGATTCAATGAATATTCTGATTTATCAAATTATAATTAAAATTTGGGTTTTTTTTTTCAATTTTGTTTGCCATAGAATCATTGAAACAAGGGATGAGACGATTAGATCGTTCTTATTTCGATGATCAAATAATAAGTACAGATAGCGAGGCCATTAATAGTATACGCCGTAAAGAGCGACAAGTGTTGGATCCAGCAGGCATACAATCCGAAATGCACCGAATATCATCCATGGCTTCTATATCAACAGATGAAGATCAGTTGCAAACAACTTCCAAAAAAAAAACAGGTAGATTTTTTACTTATAACCATTACGAATATTTGTAAAATTTCTAAGCACGTTTATATTGACGTGAATTTATATCAATATATTTCTTTCAGCTAAAAGTTCATCTCACACTACACTTCTCCCAATTAAAGAGGGCGAAACTACTATTGATCTACAATCATTCAAAGCTGTACTGGAAGATGCGTTGCAAAACCAGACAGCAATAATTAAGAATGTTATTGCATCACACACAAAAAGTATTCAATATGATTTGAAGAAAAAACTAGACGAAATTAAAAACTCTTTGGTTGTGAATAATATGTCAACACAACCTTGTCATAATGTCACGAAAATAAAGCAAAGCTTAGGAGTTGTATTACCATTGGAAAATAATGAAGAATTTGTGAAACTGGATGTATCTTTAAAGAAAAATCCATCAACGAAAGAATCCTTGGTATGAACATAATTTTATTTCTCTCTTTTATTAAGTAAAATGAGTTATGTTCTCTACTCCTTAATTACTGTTTTTCAGATGGCTCTTTATCGTGTCATTGCGTTCGGGGAGAAGGATGTAAAAGGATGCATTGGAAAAATTATGGCAGCAACTCTATCAAAAAACGTTCAGTTAATGTATTCAGGAACAGGGAAAACTGTACACGGTGTTGGAAAATTAAACTTCCGTAACACCAACGTTTTTCTATGTTTAAAAGGTACTTCATACATGCTCTTATATATTATTAATTGAATTAATTCCAACATCTGATCGATCTGTTCTTGTTTTTATAGATTACATTGTAGAAAAATTTGGAGATGTTCCAGAACTAAAAAATTTTGCAGGCCTAGTAGGCCGTTGGCTATCTGGAGCCAATGACAGAGATGGTGGCCGTAAAAATCGTGGAGAATAATAATTAATTATAAGTGTTCTTATATTATATTTAAACGTTAAACTTTATATTATATTCAAACTTTATACTAAATAGAGTATCTTATATTATATTTAAACCATATTTGATTTCGATAGTAGTTTTTTTGTTAGGGTTAAGATAATATAATTATCTATTATATTCTCGATAATAAAAAAAAAGTTAATTTAACAATAATCCTTTAATTCATTTATAAATGTAATACTTATAATTTATATACAATTATTATTATGTTATTGTTATTGTTATTTGGATGCAAAATTTGTTTATTGGTATATAGTTGGGCCAATAACAATGCCTATCATTGGGCCATTATTGATAACTAGTACTGGATCGATGTTATCATCCAGTAGATAATTATTAACTGACCGTTAATGGGCGCCATTAACTGACCATCAATTAATACAAAAGGCCCAATAATTTGCCATTCATGGGCCAGTTTCTAAACCCTATATGGGAAGTCGTCTAGTCCGTTGGCGGCTGAAACTACTGGAGTACGACTATGAGATACACTACAAACCGGGAAAATCGAACACGAATGCTGATTTTCTCAGCCGTCCGATCTGCCAAGTCAACTCAAACGATAAATTAAACTTCAAGGACTTCCAAATTTACCATCCACAAAATATCAATATAAACACTCCCGCAGGAGACAAAACAGAAAAAACAAAAATAAAAAATATCGTCATACATTTAGCATGTGACGGTTTAATTAGCAACCTCCATTGTGACTACGTGAAACAAAACTTTCCGGATATGGATCTAACCTGAGTGAGGTAAAAGTAATAAGGTTATCAGCCCAAACAATTTACTTGATCTATATTAAACAATTCATAAGGGATTCCGCCAATTACGAAGATCTGTTCAACACCCTACTCAACCTAAAAATCACCCTGAACTTTAATAAGACAAAATCCTTCACCATCATCGATCCTACGATTCAGAACCATTTAATACAGCCAAACACCATAGAAAGTCTTCTAGACTACATCTTCAAAAGTTTCGATTACAAAATCGTAGATAATGAGAGAGTCCACATTGAAACCCCAGAGGAGATGGAGTTGGTCTTAATAGAAAACCACGACCACCCGCTATCCGGATATCAAGGCTTCCAAAAAACCTATGAAAACATTAGAAGTCGATATTATTGGAATAAAATTCATGCAGGCTTTCGCGATGCCAGAACACAACGCCAATATTGTCGCCATTCATTTCTTAAAATTCTGTACGCAGTTCGGATTCCCAGATAGTAAGGATAAGAATTTACGTCAAATACTTTCAAGGAATTTAATTAATTTCAGTAAGACAAAAATTAGCAATCCCCTACCATCCGCAAACAAATGGTTCCATAGAACGCACCCATTTTACCCTGAAAGATTATTTTAAGTGCTATGTAAACAAAGATAATAATGATTGGGATCAATACTTAAATCTCGCGGTATATTCATATAACACCAACATTCATAAATCAACATCTAAAACACCATATGAATTAGTATTTAGTCAATCTTCCTAAATTCCCAACTCGTTACAACATCCCAAACAAAAACCCAATTACTCTGAGCTAGCACAAGAAATAACTTCAAAGTTACAAAAAATAAGAGAAGTAGCTAGAGAAAATCAATTAGTAAATAGAAACAAATCTAAACAAAATTACGACAAAACCCATAGTAACCAACATAATTTCAAAGAAAATGATTTAGTTTTAGTACGAAATTCTTTCGCGAAGAAAACAAACAAGAAATTCGCCAAAGAATTTAAAAGACCATATAAAATCATTCAGGTGCACGACAATAACACAGCCAGGGCTTGATTAACCCTTAGGCTAATTAGGCTGCAGCCTAGGGCGCGAGGATCCGGGGGGCGCTGAAATCGTGTCTTCGCATGCACTAATCTAGCATCATTGCATCTACCCTACATATTTCAACTANTCACACTACTACTCTACTCAATTACTACTTTTTAGGCCGTCCGTAACACACCTAGCGGGGGCGCGTCCTCATAATTAGCCTAGGGCGGTCAGAACTCTTGATCAGTCGCTGAACACAGCATCCATTAAAATAACACAAAATAAATCAAAAACTTATCATTTTAACGTACTGAAACCCTATGTTTCAGAAAAGAAACAAGAATCAGAAGATGAAAACAAACATTTATCTTTCCTTTATCATCATCCCTTTATATTCCTCTATCTCCCAAGCTTACACCATTATCCCTATAAACTCCTCGAGCAGAATTTTCTATAATCATCTTGGCAAAGCTAAAACCGCGAATCAAAAATTTACCTTATTAACATTTATTAACGTGTCTCATATCGATCATCATGTTTAGACAATCAATACACTTTTCTTCAAATCAGTAGGACTTTGCAACAAGATAACATCAAAACACATTGCCTTTCACGGTCAGAATCAACTTCAGCATATCAACACAAAACTTAAACTCATAAAAAGATATTATAACATCCTAGCTCACCAAATAGTAGGAAATCGGAAAAAACGCGGCCTCATGAACGGTATCGGTGACGCTCTAAAATGGCTATTTGGCACCGCCGATGCTGAGGATGCCCAATTTTACACTGATTCCATTAAAAGTCTAATTGGCAATCAAAAGCAAACCGAGACTCTTATGCAACAACAAATTAGAATAGTTCATTCTACTATTTCGAACTTTAATAACTCACTGCAAATTCTCAACCAAAATACTAAAGTATTAAATGGAAATATAATTAAGTCTGATAAATTCATGTCACAAACATTGGAAGGTCCGATCCGATTTTCCCTTGATAGCGTCATTAGAGGCACCCGTTGTTAGGATAAATGGGCTTTGGAAAAAAAAGGATTTTGTCTTTTGGATTTTTGGGGTTTTTAATTACTTTAATTGCTCCTATCTTCTGTGGATTTGGTTCGACTCCTCTATCGGAGATGACGTGACCTAAATAGACAACTTCCTTCCTGAGGAATTCGCACTTGTCGGGCTGTAGCTTAAGGTTATGTTCGTCGAGTCGTTCGAGTACTTCTATCAGCTTGTTAATATGATCCTGGAGAGATTTCCCGTAGGTAACGATGTCATCTAGGTAGACGAAGCATTTTTCTCCTTGAAGAAGAATGACCTTCAACAGCCGAAGAATGACCTTTTTCAGCTGACGAATGACCTCCAAAGGCGCGGAAGAACTGGACGATGGTCAGAACTGGATGGACAGGCCATCCGGAGTCCCAGAAGCGACACTGTATTACTACTACTGCCGATATTCTCAGCCGACCGATCTGCCAGGTCAAAGCAAACGATAAATTAAACTTCAAGGACTTCCAAATTTACCACCAACAAAATATCGATATAAACACTCCCGCGAGAGGCAAAACAAAAAAAAAAACAAAAATAAAAAACATGGTCATACCTTTAGCATGTGACGGTTTAATAAGCAACCTCCATTGTGACTAAGTGAAATAAAACTTTCCAGATATAGATCTAACAAATCGAAACCTCAGTGAGGTAAGAATATTAAGGCTACCAGTCCAAACAATTTACTTGATCTATATTAAACAATTGATAAGGGATTCCGCCAAGAACGAAGATCTGTTAAACAACCTAATCAACCTTAAAATCACTCTGAACTTTAATAAGACAAAATCTTTCACTATCATCGATCCTACTATTCAACATCATTTACTACAGTCAAACACCTTAGAAAGTCTTCTAGATTACGTCTTTAAAGATTTCGATTACAAAATCTTAGACAATGAGAGAGTCCACATTAAAACCCCAGAGGAGATGGAGTTGATCTTAATAGAAAACCACGGCCACCCGCTATCCGGACATCAAGGCTTCCAAAGAACCTACATGAAAACATTAGAAGTCGATATTATTCGAACAATATAAAAGAATACATCAAAGTGTACATCCAGAAATGCCCTGTCTGTCAAGAGGCGAAAACCAACTTTAAACCGAATAAAAGTCCGATGCTCATTACAACAACTTTACGGAAATTTTGCGAGCAAGTAGCCATGGACATCCTAGGACCACTACCGGAAACTGATAACGGTAATAGGTTTATCTTAACACTACAGGATGATCTTCATCCAGGCTTTCGCGATGCCAGAACACAACGCCAATATTGTCGCCATTCATTTCTTAAAATTCTGTACGCAGTTCGGTTTCACAGATAGTATCCTTTCAGACCAAGGCAAAGAATTTACGTCAAATACTTTCAAGGAATTCAACAAATTAATTTCAGTAAGACAAAAATTAGCGAGCCCCTACCATCCACAAACAAATGGTTCCTTAGAACGCACCCATCTTACCCTAAAAGATTATTTTAAGTGCTATGTAAATAAAGATAATAATGATTGGGATCAATACTTAAATCTCGCGGTATATTCGTGTAACACCCACATTCATAAATGAGCTAGCACAAGAAATAACTGCCAAGTTACAAAAAATAAGAAGTAGCTAGAGAAAATCAATTAGTAAATAAAACCAAATCGAAACAAAATTACGACACAGCCCATAGCAACCAATATAGTTTCAAAGAAAACGATTTAGTTTTAGTACGAAATTCATTCGCGAAGAAAACCAACAAAAAACTCGCCAAAGAATTTGAAGGACCATATAAAGATCATCCAGGTGCACGACAACAACACAGCATCCATTAAAATAACACAAAATAAACCAAAAACTTATCATTTTAACCTATGTTTCAGCAAAGAAACAGTAATCCGAAGATGAAAATTAACATTTACATTTCCTTTATCATCATCCCTTTATATTCCTCTCTCTCCCAAGCTTACACCATTATCCCTATAAACTCCTCGAATTTATAGGGATAATGGAATTTTCTATAATCATCTTGGCAAAGCTAAAATCGCGAATCAAAAATTTACCTTATTAACGTGTCTCATATTGATAATCATGTTCAGACAATCAATACACTTTTTTTTTCAA